ACTTTCTCATATCTTACTTACTATTTATTGTGTGATTTTGTTCTACTTGATTTAAAAATCTGTATATACAGTATATTAATAGTACTACTGATTTTGATTACTGAATTGTTGGGAAAGAGCAAGCAAGAAAGGCATTTCACTGTAGTTGTGCACATGACAAAAACTTTAAACTTGAGATCTGATGTGATTGGTCAAAAGACCAATTAGTGGAAAAAATATCAGAATTAGGCTGCATGTCTAAACACAGCCTATTTATAATAATAATAATATGCCATTTAGCAGATGCTTTTATCCAAAGCGACTTACAGTCATGTGCGCATACATTTTTACATATGGGTGGTCCCGGGGATCGAACCCACTACCCTGGCGTTACATGCACCATGCTCTACCAACTGAGCTACAGAGGACCACAGATTTGACAGACAATCATATCTGTATCTACATTATACATTTCGGTCTGAAAGTTCTGTTACGTTACATCCTACATTTACATTTTAGTCATTGTAAACAAGCCCCACCTTCCACCTGAAGAGCTACTGGATATCAGCTAATCAAAATTCCAGTGAGAAGCCAATTAGATTAATCAGTTCTGTTAGAGCAGGGCTTGAGCAAAATCTTGTATACTCATAGTAGCTCTCCAGGAGAACGGCATATTGCCTCCACCTATCCAAGACTCTACAGGAGTCAGTAGGCCTGGGGGGCTAAGGCTAGATCTGGAATTCAGCATAGCCTGGTTGTTTCTGGACGGAGCCTCACTGCTGATCCCAATGTTTTCAGATCTGAAGGGTCTGGATATGTATAAGCAGTGTAATAGTTGAACTTCCACCATATTGTCTACACTTTACAGAAATGGAAACATTGAAGGGTTAGGGAGTGAATTGGAACAGATGGGTAGTCTCTTGTATGGTTATACCTTGCATGTTGGGAGATGCAGTCAAGTGATCAAGGGTTGCTGTTGGTGATGACTAGCTCAACTGTGTCTGAGAGGTCAGCAAAGGATCACTGGAGTCATGTGACAAGGGTTTTGCGATTTATCCCATCGGTCAGCAGTCAGTAGCACCTCCTGTTCACATGTCAAAAGATAAGTATAATGACCTGGTAGCCCTCTGGCTATTTTTTTCTCTCTATCCCTCCCTCCATCCTTCCTTTACATAATCTCTCATATCTCACATGGTTTGCTAGTAAAGGTCTGAGACAAACTCAGAACACTACCCAAATGCAGCAGCCCATAAAATTCCAACATCAACTCTTAGTTTGAACATACATACTCTCAGAAGTGTTCTACTAATTGGTCCATAAACAATCCACAAAGACAACACAATATTATTCAAAACCTTCTTTAATCAAACTATGCAATCACATGAAATTCTTAACAATAGAAACATTCTACAATCACCAACCTTTTATATATCAATGTCAGGTTCAGTTACCGTATGTGTGGAAGACTGTAGTGTCAAATTAAAGTTGTGTACATTAACATATTGAAGTGCTAACTTTTCTTTCAAGTTTCTCTTTCCTTGTACATTGACCAGGTAGGAGTTGGGCCATGTGTTTTTCCTGAGCATGTCACCTGACCAAGAAAATATGTGTCCTAGTTATAGGCTACATCTAGGGCCCAGAGTTTTACCCTAGTTATACTGTAGTTATTGCCATAATTGTCTAGGATGAGCTATTTAAAAATATATTTAAAAAAACATTGAGCTACTCATTTTTATCTAGCTTTCAAAATAGGAACATTCTTCTCCTCTCCCCTGTAACTCTTGCCTGGGTCCTTAGTATACAAGAGGAAGTAGTGCACTGTGTTTTCTGTCAATATACCTGGTGAAATAATGGTTAATAAACAATTAAGGGGGGTCCTATAACATCTGCGATTTCCCCCCAAAATGTTGTTTTATATTTTCCAAAATTATGTTCAGTTTGATTTTTCCTGCTTAGATTTTAGTTTTTCACTCTCAATTTCAATTGTTCATAGAGAAACAACGAAATTGGATGTTCTGAGTCCATGTCAATGCTTAAATCACATCAGAATACAATTTATTTTTGGTCTGGAAGGAAACTAACATATTGATTTGAGTGTAATTCCCCTTTAATTGTGTATCTGGCCCTTTAAATTGTGTATCGAGTGAGGAATGTACCATATAATGTGCCGGTCTAGTGATGGTTCTGTACTGCTGCTGCTCATTTCATGACAAAGTTTGCAAATAATAGATACAAATGATATACTTCCTCATGATATACTTCTGCCAGGTAAGCCTACTTTGCAGTTAACATTTAATTGAGAAGGTTTTGGGGAAAGTACAGTGGGGAAAAAAAGTATTTAGTCAGCCACCAATTGTGCAAGTTCTCCCACTTAAAAAGATGAGAGGCCTGTAATTTTCATCATAGGTACACATCAACTATGACAGACAAATTGAGAAAAGAAAATCCAGAAAATCACATTGTAGGATTTTTAATGAATTTATTTGCAAATTATGGTGGAAAATAAGTATTTGGTCACCTACAAACAAGCAAGATTTCTGGCTCTCACAGACCTGTAACAACTTCTTTAAGAGGCTCCTCTGTCCTCCACTCGTTACCTGTATTAATGGCACCTGTTTGAACTTGTTATCAGTATAAAAGACACCTGTCCACTACCTCAAACAGTCACACTCCAAACTCCACTATGGCCAAGACCAAAGAGCTGTCAAAGGACACCAGAAACAAAATTGTAGACCTGCACCAGGCTGGGAAGACTGAATCTGCAATAGGTAAGCAGCTTGGTTTGAAGAAATCAACTGTGGGAGCAATTATTAGGAAATGGAAGACATACAAGACCACTGATAATCTCCCTCGATCTGGGGCTCCACGCAAGATCTCACCCCGTGGAGTCAAAATGATTACAAGAACGGTGAGCAAAAATCCTAGAACCACACGGGGGGACCTAGTGAATGACCTGCAGAGAGCTGGGACCAAAGTAACAAAGCCTACCATCAGTAACACACTCCGCCGCCAGGGACTCAAATCCTGCAGTGCCAGACGTGTCCCCCTGCTTAAGCCAGTACATGTCCAGGCCCGTCTGAAGTTTGCTAGAGTGCATTTGGATGATCCAGAAGAGGATTGGGAGAATGTCATATGGTCAGATGAAACCAAAATAGAACTTTTTGGTAAAAACTCAACTCATCGTGTTTGGAGGACAAAGAATGCTGAGTTGCATCCAAAGAACACCATACCTACTGTGAAGCATGGGGGTGGAAACATCATGCTTTGGGGCTGTTTTTCTGCAAAGGGACCAGGACGACTGATCCGTGTAAAGGAAAGAATTAATGGGGCCATGTATCGTGAGATTTTGAGTGAAAACCTCCTTCCATCAGCAAGGGCATTGAAGATGAAACGTGGCTGGGTCTTTCAGCATGACAATGATCCCAAACACACCGCCCGAGCAACGAAGGAGTGGCTTCGTAAGAAGCATTTCAAGGTCCTGGAGTGGCCTAGCCAGTCTCCAGATCTCAACCCCATAGAAAATCTTTGGAGGGAGTTGAAAGTCCGTGTTGCCCAGCGACAGCCCCAAAACATCACTGCTCTAGAGGAGATCTGCATGGAGGAATGGGCCAAAATACCAGCAACAGTGTGTGAAAACCTTGTGAAGACTTACAGAAAACGTTTGACCTGTGTCATTGCCAACAAAGGGTATATAACAAAGTATTGAGAAACTTTTGTTATTGACCAAATACTTATTTTCCAACATAATTTGCAAATAAATTCATAACAAAATCCTACAAAGTGATTTTCTGGATTTCTTTTTCTCATTTTGTCTGTCATAGTTGACGTGTACCTATGATGAAAATTACAGGCCTCTCATCTTTTTAAGTGGGAGAACTTGCACAATTGGTGGCTGACTAAATACTTTTTTCCCCCACTGTATTTATGTTAACCCACAAAATGGTTATCACATCAACTGGCTACACACGGAGTGATAGACAAAGCCGTGCACCACACAGACAGGGGCAATATTGCTGAAAATTAATTGGCAAACAGTGTTAGGTTTGTCTTTTTAAGCCAATAATGGCTAACCAGGGATGGGATAATGTCAAGGTTGCGTTGATTAGATAGTAGATGGGAGCTTGCGGTGTCTGATACTTGTGAGATTTGTTTATGACAGTTTGCAGTGGAATACGTGAAAATTGCATGTACTTTCAGAGTTGTTTGGCGAGCTACTGGTAGCTCGCGATCGACCTGTTGGAGACCCCTGATCTAGGGCCTAGAGTTTTTCCTGGTCAGGGGGCCACATGCTCAGGAAAGACTCCTGGCTCTACTCATGGGATATATGAACGAGGATGATTCAGCACCAATAAATCATCTTTAGAGGAATAAGGACTTAGCATGAGTTTTCCCACTGTCTGCTGTTCTATAGACTTACATAGAGCTGGCCAGAGCCAGATAGTGTGTACAAAAAACCCCTCTGCAAAAGGGGAAACAGCAGCTCTACCTAGAACATCTAAATCACTTGTACTTCATTGATCAATTAAGGTCACTGATTAGTTAGGAACTCCCCTCACCTGGTTGTGTAGGTCTTAAATTGGACACATTGAAAGGAAATAACAATACCAGCAGACACTTGGCCCTCTATGGAATGAGTTTGACACACCTGGTCTAAATGTTGATTTCTTCAAAATATCTCCTTAACAGTTGAAATCAACTCCTTTTCCTTTACCTTCTTTTTGTGGATGCACCTTGGCACGTCTGTCTAATTTGGAGAACCCAAATGACCAAAATCCTTCATTCAAAAACAAGTCCAGGTGGAATTAAGCTTTCCTGAAGTGCTCTACTATTTCCCACAGTCAGTAACCTCTTTCCTTGATCCTTTGTATAAATCCAAGGTTTAATACATGATGCTCAGAGTCACATGAGACAAACAGAAATGTATTTGGAAGAACAGATCAGTCAGTTCCTGAGAGAGGATGAAATGTTGTGAGAATATCAAATCTCCAAGTGTTCCCCATCTTGTAGATCCAGTTTGTTCTTCATTCATCTGATCTTGGTTGGACAGAGGTAAAAATATACAGTATATTTGACTCTTTCCTCTGTCCCTCTCTGAACTAGGGTTGGTCAGTACTCCACGTAGAAGGTGTCCCCAACCACAGATCTAGGATCAGTTTACCATCCCCTAATCCTCACCTTAATTATTAGCTGGGGAAAGGGCAAAACTGATCCAAGATCAGCATCTAGGGGCAACAATGTCATTCTAGTCCCCTGTGTGTCCGTCAGTGGAGGATGCGGTGGAGGTACCTCTCTGGGTAGCTCTCCCCTCCCTTCTTCAGTAGTGCTCCTGGTCTGGCTGGTCTCTCAGAGGCCCCTGCAGGCCCTTGGCCCTCGGTTAGGTCCTCTGTGACTCCTGTAGCTCCTCTGAGGCCCTTAGGAGTCAGTGGCTGTGTGTCTGGGCTGCTGTGTGATGCTCCTGACTCTGTCTTGCTGTCTGATGACTGCTCTTTGCTCTGCTGGCTGCTCGCTGAACTCTTACCAATCCTGTAGAAACAAGGCACAGAGGACGCCTTTGTCAAATTATTAAAAAACCACAAGGTTCAGGGAGTTTTTGTGCTGTGTGAGGACTTGTAAAAATAATATTTTGAAGGATTAAATCAGACATTTTAATCTCTTGATTGTGACTGCATGGTGTGTGTGCGATTGTGTGTGTGGTGTGCGTCAGTGTGTACGTAAATGAGTGTGGAGAATGGGAGGGCATTGGGTGCGTGTATTCAGTCTGACCCATCTCAGATCAGATGATTTAACGCCCATAACCAGCGTGGTCCCAGTGTCTCTCTCCTCTCCTCTCCACATTGTGTGTGTGTGTACAAATATATCTCATTATATATTTATATACAATTATTATTTTTGTATATCATAATATAATAACCGCATATTACATAATTCCAACCCACCTCAGATGATTAAACGCCCGGAGCCAGCGCGGCCCCAGTGTGTCTCGCCCCTCCACCCTGAGTCGTCTCCGTCGGCCCCTCGCCCTCAGTCCTATCAGGGCCTGGGCCAGCTCAGGCTCATCCCCGTGGCCCCACACCAGCTGGGCTCTCTGCTCTGCATCCTGGTCCCCAGCTGCCGTGAACAACCTCTGCAGCTGACGTAGGTTCACCTTGGGGACAGGGGGGTGTAAGTCAGTGAGAAAACACACTTTTACATCAACGACCTATATACAGCCGGCAGATTTTGAATGACTCCTAACCGTTGTTCCTTACCCTAACCTCACCCCCTTAATCCCAACCCTTACCCTAACTTTAACCCTTACCCTAATCTCACCCCCTTAATCCCAACCCTTACCTTAACCAATGTCAATCCCTATGCCTAACCTATACCTTTGGATCTGCCGACTGAATATCCACTTCCTAAATAATACCAAACTCACCCCGCCAAAGATGTTCCCCGAGCCAGCTTTCCTACTCCTCCGCTCAGCGAGACGCCACAGTGTGGAGGGCCCTGCCACCGTGGAGGAGGGAGACGGAGATGCTGCCTCCGCATCCATCCTCCCCCAGGCGAGAGGCCGCGAGAGCGGGTAGAAGATGCTGCGAGATGGGCCTTCCTGTGGAGGATATGAAAGGTTACGGTTAAGGGCTAGACTCACTTGTTGCAATTGCATAGTATTTCATGTTAGTCTGTTTCTAGGGGCAATTTAGAAGAAGAATGGCGCTGGAGGAGATGGCTGCCGTTTTACGGGCTCCTAACCAATTGTGCTATTCTGTGTGTTTCTTCGTGTTATTTGTAACTTATTTTGTACATAATGTTTCTGCCACCGTCTCTTATGATTGAAAATGGCTTCTGGATATCAGGACAGCGATTACTCACCTCGTACTGGATGAAGATGTTTTATTTAATGAGTCGGACGCTAAGGATTTTCTTCAGACACCCGACAAGCCCAAATCCCCGTCATTCGCATGAGAAAGAGACAGAGATATCGGGGACGTAGGTCGGGGTCCCTTGTAAGGATTCGAACGCGAGTGGGAAATCTGTCTCTACCATCAGTCCTATTAGCCAACGTACAATCATTGGATAACAAAATAGACAAACTACGATCATGGATATCCTACCAATGAGACATTAAAAACTGTAATAGCTTACGTTTTACAGAGTCGTGGCTGAACGACGACATGGATAACATACAGATGGCGGGATATATGCTGCATCGGCAAGATAGAACAGCTGCCTCCGGTAAGACAAGGGGTGGTGGTCTGTGTATATTTGTAAACAGCTGGTGCACAAAATCTAATATTAAGGAAGGCTATAGGTTTTGCTCGCCTGAGGTAGAGTATCTCATGATAAGCTGTAGACCACACTATTTACAAAGAGAGTTTATCTATATTTTACGTAGCTGTCTATTTAAGACTGCACTCAATGAGCAGTATAAGGCCATATCTCAGGCTGGCCAATAAAAAGAAAAGATTAAGATGGGCAGTCTGAGATATGGCTTTTTCTTTGCAACTCTGCCTAGAAGGTCAGCCTCCAGGAGTCGCCTCTTCACTGTTGACGTTGAGAATGGTGTTTTGCGGGTACTATTTAATGAAGCTGCCAGTTGAGGACCTGTGAGGCATCAGTTTCTCAAACTACACACTAATGTATTTGTCCTCTTGAAGGGAGTAGTACACAGCGTTGTACGAGATCTTCAGTTTCTTGGCAATTTCTCGCATGGAATAGCCTTCATTTCTCAGAACAAGAATAGACTGACGAGTTTCAGAAGAAAGTTATTTGTTTCTGGCCATTTTGATTCTGTAATCGAACCCACAACTGCTGATGCTCCAGATACTCAACTAGTCTCAAGAAAGGCCAGTTTTATTGCTTCTTTAAATCAACAACAGTTTTCAGCTGTGCTAACATAATTGCAAAAGGGTTTTCTAATGATCAATTAGTTTTTTTAAATTATAAACTTGGATTAGCAAACACAACGTGCCATTGGAACACAGGACTGATGGTTGCTGATAATGGGCCTCTGTACGCCTATGTAGTTATTCCATTTAAAAAAACAGCCGTTTCCAGCTACAATAGCCATTTACAACATTACCAATGTCTACACTGTATTTCTGATCAAATCAAATAAAATAAAATTTTATTGGTCACATGCGCCGAATACAACAGGTGCAGACATCACAGTGAAATGCTTACTTACAGCCCTTAACCAACAGTGCATTTATTTTTTTGTAAAAAAGTAAAAATAAAACAACAACAAAAAAAGTGTTGAGAGAAAAAAGAGCAGAAGTAAAATAAAGTGACAGTAGGGAGGCTATATATACAGGGGGGTAGCGTTGCAGAGTCAATGTGCGGGGGCACCGGCTAGTTGAGGTAGTTGAGGTAATATGTACATGTGGGTAGAGTTAAAGTGACTATGCATAAATAATTAACAGAGTAGCAGCAGCGTAAAAAGGATGGGGTGGGGGGGCAGTGCAAATAGTCCAGGTAGCCATGATTATCTGTTCAGGAGTCTTATGGCTTGGGGGTAGAAGCTGTTGAGAAGTCTTTTGGACCTAGACTTGGCACTCCGGTACCGCTTGCCGTGCGGTAGCAGAGAGAACAGTCTATGACTAGGGTGGCTGGAGTCTTTGACAATTTTGAGGGCCTTCCTCTGACACCGCCTGGTATAGAGGTCCTGGATGGCAGGAAGCTTGGCCCCAGTGATGTACTGGGCCGTACGCACTACCCTCTGTAGTGCCTTGCGGTCGGAGGCCAAGCAGTTGCCATACCAGGCGGTGATGCAACCACTCAGGATGCTCTCGATGGTGCAGCTGTAGAATTTTTTGAGGATCTGAGGACCCATGCCAAATCTTTTCAGTCTCCTGAGGGGGAATAGGCTTTGTCGTGCCCTCTTCACGACTGTCTTGGTGTGTTTGGACCATGATAGTTCGTTGGTGATGTGGACACCAAGGAACTTGAAGCTCTCAACCTGTTCCACTACAGCCCCGTCGATGAGAATGGGGGCGTGCTCAGTCCTCTTTTTTTTCCTGTAGTCCACAATCATCTCCTTTGTCTTGGTCACGTTGAGGGAGAGGTTGTTGTCCTGGCACCACACGGCCAGGTCTCTGACCTCCTCCCTATAGGCTGTCTCATCGTTGTCGGTGATCAGGCCTACCACTGTTGTGTCGTCGGCAAACTTAATGATGGTGTTGGAATCGTGCCTGGCCATGAAGTCATGGGTGAACAGAGAGTACAGGAGGGGACTGAGCACGCACCCCTGAGGGGCCCCCGTGTTGAGGATCAGTGTGGCAGATGTGTTGTTAGCTACCCTTACCACCTGGGGGCGGCCCGTCAGGAAGTCCAGGATCCAGTTGCAGAGGGAGGTGTTTAGTCATCTGTCTCCTGAGTGGCGCAGTGGTCTAAGGCACTGCATCGCAGTGCTAACTGTGCTACTAGAGATCCTGGTTCGAATCCAGGCTCTGTCGCAGCCGGCCGCGACCGGGAGACTCATGGGCGGCGCACAATTGGCCCAGCGTCGTCCAGGGTAGGGGAGGGAATGGCCGGTAGGGATGTAGCTCAGTTGATAGAGCATGGCGTTTGCAACGCCAGGGTTGTGGGTTCGATTCCCACGGGGGGGGCAGTATAAAAAAAAAAAAAAAAAAAAAAAAAAAAAAAAAAAAAAAAATGTATTCACTAACTGTAAGTCGCTCTGGATAAGAGCGTCTGCTAAATGACTAAAATGTAAATGTAAATGTAGTCCCAGGATCCTTAGCTTAGTGATGAGCTTAGAGGGCACTATGGTGTTGAATGCTGAGCTGTAGTCAATGAATAGCATTCTCACGTAGGTGTTCCTCTTGTCCAGGTGGGAAAGGGCAGTGTGGAGTGCAATAGAGATTGCATCATCTGTGGATCTGTTGGGGCGGTATGCAAATTGGAGTGGGTCCAGGGTTTCTGGGATAATGCTGTTGATGTGAGCCATGACCAGCCTTTCAAAGCACTTCATGGCTACAGACGTCAGTGCTACGGGTCGGTAGTCATTTAGGCAGGTTCTTAGAGTCCTTGGGCACGGGGACTATGGTGGTCCGCTTGAAACATGTTGGTATTACAGACTCAGTCAGGGACATGTTGAAAATGTCAGTGAAGACACTTGCCAGTTGGTCAGCACATGCTCGGAGTACACGTCCTGGTAATCCGTCTGGCCCTGCGGCCTTGTGAATGTTGACCTGCTTAAAAGTCTTACTCACATCGGCTACGGAGAGCGTGATCACATAGTCATCCGGAACAGCTGGTGCTCTCATGCATGCTTCAGTGTTGCTTGCCTCGAAGCGAGCATAGAAGTGGTTTAGCTCGTCTGGTAGGCTTGTGTCACTGGGCAGCTCGCGGCTGTGCTTCCCTTTGTAGTCTGTGATAGTTTTCAAGCCCTACCACATCCGACGAGCGTCAGAGCCAGTGTAGTACGATTCAATCTTAGTCCTGTATTGACTCTTTGCCTGTTTGATGGTTCGTCGGAGGTCATAGCGGGATTTCTTATAAGCGTCCGGGTTAGAGTCCCGTTCCTTGAAAGTGGCAGCTCTACCCTTTAGCTCAGTGCGGATGTTTCCTGTAATCCATGGCTTCTGGTTGGGGTATGTACGTACGGTCACTGTGGGGACGACATCATCGATGCACTTATTGATGAAGCCAGTGACTGATGTGGTGTACTCCTCAATGCTGTCTGAAGAATCCCGGAACATGTTCCAGTCTGTGCTAGCAAAACAGTCCTGTAGTTTAGCATCTGCGTCATCTGACCACTTTTTTTATTAACCGAGTCACTGGTGCTTCCTGCTTTAGTTTTTGCTTATAAGCAGGAATCAGGAGGATATAGTTATGGTCAGATTTGCCAAATGGAGGGCGAGGGAGAGCTTTGTATGCGTCTCTGTGTGTGGAGTAAAGGTGGTCTAGAGTTTTTTTCCTCTGGTTGCACATTTAACAGGCTGGTAGAAATTAGGTAGAACGGATTTAAGTTTCCCTGCATTAAAGTCCCCGGCCACTAGGAGCGCTGCATCTGGATGAGCGTTTTTCTGTTGATTTATGGCCTTGTACAACTCATTCAGTGCAATCTTAATGCCAGCATTGGTTTGTGGTGGTAAATAGACAGCTATGAAAAATATAGATAAACTCTCTTGGTAAATAGTGTGGTCTACAGCTTATCATAAGATACTCTACCTCAGGCGAGCAAAACCTTGAGACTTCCTTAGTATTTGATTTTGTGCACCAGCTGTTGTTTACAAATATACACAGACCGCCACCCCTTGTCTTACCGGAGTCAGCCGTTCTATCCTGCCGATGTAGCGTATAGCCCGCTAGCTGTATGATCAATTTGATGTTATTTTAATGGACAATTTTTTTTTGCTTTTCTTTTGAAAACAAGGACATTTCTAAGTGACCCCAAACTTTTGAATGGTAGTGTACATATTACCTCAATTACCTTGACTAACCAGTGCCCCCGCACATTGATTCTGTACCGGTCCCCCTGTATATAGCCTCGCTGTTATTTTACTGCTGCGGTTGAATTATTTTTTATCTATTTTTTACTCAACACTTATTTTTCTTACAACGGCATTGTTAAGGG